CACTCCCCCTTCCCTGCGACCTTTTTTAGGAAGTTTTGTCGAGAAAAGTACTAGGACCGATGGGAAACATATTTCCGAAAGAAAACAAAGACAAAAGAAAGGGTATGACAGGACCCAATCAAAATTGTTGTTAAAATTTGCGAAAACATAAAAATTTCTATCGTAGAAATTCGTACATAGAATCGTTTTTCAAGGAAATTAGTCCATTCTTTTCTTGCAGAAGAAGCCCGTGTACAAATTAACGCGGTCAACCAAGAAAATGTGTGTCTCAAGAGACAACTACATTGCGAACGGCAGTTTTATATTGAGAGAATTGGAAAAGAAGTTGAACAGAAAGTGAAGGTATTTTTAGCATCGTATAAAGCTTTTTTTWAAATGTATTAGAGTTGTTATCGTATAAGTGGAGAACTTTGGGTACTGGCTTCAGGGGCACGTACACACTGTACAACATGGCGTAACATTTAAAGGGCTTCCCACTGCCTTCCAGTAAATTCATTCAAGTGAGGATACCTGATTCTACTCATTCGCCAGTTTGCTGTCGAAGGATACCTTAGCAGAGTTTGCTTGATGTGATGTGAAGTTTCCCTTACCACGGTGGTCCGGTTTTATTTACGGTTCTCAATAGCAGGCGCGCAATCGTACAATTTGCCGTCACGAAAGCAATAGGGCTTTCGTGCCGTCAACGCAATCAAAACTTTTCCCATGACATTGTATGTCCGGCAAGCAAGGATATGTTTCTATGGAAGGTCATGGAAACGCCTTAATTGACGTTCGTTCGTGCTATTGAGAACTACTAATGTAATATAGCAAAAGTCCACGGACTGCTGTTTTCTGACAAACAGTCTAGCATTTCTAGTATCATTATTTCTGTTATCTTGTCTATCCGTATATTTTTAGTGCCAATTCAAAGCTGTCGAAGATTGCCTCCAAGCAACCATTTATAATTTATTGGAAAGTTCCAAACTTATCTCTTCTGCGATCGATATGGTTTCCATGCCAACAAACACAACAACCTTCACGCCAGCATCCTGTCCAATCCCTATGCACTCCTGTGACACTACCCCTCCCCCTGACGAACCTGACTTCATGGAGGTCACAACTGCTGAGCTTGTTCCCATGGAGACCACAGCAACAGAACTGGGGAACATCGTTACGATATTTTCTAAGGAAACAAACCTTGATTCCAGTCATTTACAAGGTATTATTCATGAGTTGGGTTCGTTCTTACTCTTAGGTTGTTCACGCGATTCAAACTTGCTGATACACCTAGAGAATGACGATCGGCGGATCGGCAATTATACGACCAAAAGAAACTGTATGTGGGCACACAACTAAATACGAGTAATCGAGGTATTTTTCATCCACTACAAACAACACCAAATATTTCAACAATAACHTCTGTGTTATTGACAAGAATAATGATAAGAAACACMAGTCATTCCAGSTATTCTTGGATCTTGGGATGACTTATCTCCTATCGCTTATTACCTCTTTGAAGTAGCTGTATATTTGCAAAAGGAGGGACTCATCTATACTTATCTATTACATAAAACTTTGATCATTCTAGGACGCGTTTGTAGGGTAAAAAGAGCGGGTAAAACAAATTGTGCAATTCGTCGTTTTTTTATAAAAGAAGAGATGGAGGGTGGGCGGGGATAAAGAAAAGGGGAAACGACTAAAAGAAAAGTTTTTGAATTTTTTAATCAGGTGTTAACCGCATTTCGGTAGCAGATATAACAGCCCTGGTTCCTAATAGCGACCAAGAGGTTTTCAGCGATGGAGTGGATGATACTAGCGAGACTTCAGATGATTCTCAGACAGAGTCATTACTGGAAAAGCCCTTGCGCAGTAAAAGGAGGTCCAGCACCAATGTGTCGTACGCGATGCCGAGTCTTCGAAGGTAAGTCCAGTCTGGCATAATCTCCTGTTATTTTCTTAGTTATTGCTAAGTTATTTTCTGAAAAGTCATTTCTTCCCATAGGCGGAAAGAAAAAGGTATTTCACTTGGGATGAGGTTGCACAGTTGTTCAGTTGAAATAAAAAGGGTGGAAAGTCTTAGAGGGGCTTTTATCACCTGTATCGTCGAGCATGGTTTAGAAAAATTGTTCTTTTAAAAAATGGACAGCGCTTTTTTAACATCTTTGGGCTCTTTGGCAAATTAACACCAATTTTTAACCCCCTTCGCTCCCCTCCCCTCCCCGCTTCCTTTCCTTATTTTAGTTATATTAAACTCATAAGGTTAAGTCGTACTTTCGTTACTATTTACTTTTTCAGCAAACTTCGTAGAGGGGATCCGTTTACCGATCCATTCTTCCAGGGAACATTCTGTTTAACCAAGTCAAGTAAGAGATAATCCATTCATAATCATTCAGCCTCAATCTTGTATTTCGATGCACTCGCTATGTTCCTCTGCGCCGCTACCCAGCCTAATTCTCAGTAATATGTTGTGGGCCGTGTAAGTGTAATTACAGTTTATCTTTTTTAGAGAGAAAAGGCTCTAGAATGTCTACTGGCTGTATCCAAAAGGTGAATCAAACTATATAGCTACTTCGTATTACTTTTAATAATTCACGCTCTCGTTTCAACCTCTCTTTCTTATTTCGATATTTTTTTCTTCCAGAAGCCTCGTCATGCGCTGACAAACTTGACGAACATAATAACAGAGGAACAAGAGGCATAACCATATTGTATGCTGGGCCCAAATTAGACCAGCTGTACTTATCAAGCTGGAAAGTATTTGCAGACAGTGATCGTCGATATAATTTTCAGTGAATTGGTTAATGAATATTAACTGTGTATACCTTGATACTTTTTCCCATTCTTGTTCCCAGAGCCTGCGCTATTGCCAGCCGCACTATGCCTTCCTCAGGCTGGCGATAGAGCAGGCCCGGGAACGCGAATGACTTTCCCAAAAAGCGTATTGGACACTTAAAAGACTGCATGTTGTGGTCTTCTTCCTCCAAAAACAGAAAGCCCAAAAATAAATTTTATTTGGGAGTAACACTCTCCGCCCATCTACCGTTTTATTTATTAGGCAATTGCTGGCCAATGTAGGACCCATTGATGCAACGTTTAGTTACACCATCCTCGTGTATATTTGGTTAGCATATTTTTGTATCATACGTGTTACATATAAAGCCGCCTTGACATTAAGCTGGAATTTTATGAACGGTGTATTGAACGTGGTTTACATGCTGCGACCCCCCCGCCCTCCCGAGCCGTCTAGGTTCGCGTAGGCTGCATATACTGCCTGCACAGACCCACTTCACCGTTCAGTCCAAGGTCAACGACAAACAAAGCACTGAGCGAAATCTAAAATATCTTATTTCCTATTGATCGCAAGTTCCAACTTCTTTATTCTTTACTTTCACTGGGGTTTGCGCTTGACTTCATATTTCATGGACAGCGTCTCATCTACATTTCTATATTAATTTTCATCATACCACTTCTGCGCTTCCACGCCTAATAGCAGTCCTCAATCATTTTCTGACCACAGGGGGCACATTTTGCGTGAAAGTGGTAAGTGGAAAAATTAAAAAAAAGTCAGTAGATACCTGCATGAATAATGAAATAAGACTGAAGCTAACAAAAGCTAGAGCAGCGCCCCTCGACAATTTTAAAACATTTTATATAAGATCCCACAAAAAGCGCAAAATGCCCCCTAGTGATAARAACAGTTTTGACCTAAATTGGGATCCCTGTGTTGTTACATAATCAAAGATGGCGCACAAAACAACAAAATTTCTGACAAGAATCTTGGCTCAAAGAACTCTTATTCCTTCTTTGTTGCTWTCTTCCAAGACTACGTCTGCTATAAAAACAAAAAGACTAGTGTTTTTTAGAGCCCTCACATTGAGTACAGGTAAGCACATTAAAAATTATCCATGTACGAAGTGGGAAAATCGCGTGTCAATGAAAGCTATTCACTTTTTCTGCTTTTGGTATAAAATTGGAATTTTGAGACCATTTAATTCATAATTTCATACATGTTAAAGTAGAGTAGTAAATTGCAATGCTGTATCCTCCAGAAATCTCATTTTCCCCCGTATGAATACTTGAATCCTCATTCATAATCAGGATTACTGGTAAAAAACACTGATCAAGAATGGAGGGCCAAACTTAATCCTCAACAATATCACGTGTGCAGAGAGAAAGGAACTGAACCAGTAAGTTCAAATTACTAGTAATGATTAATTGTCTTGAAATGTTCACATGAAAACAGCTTTTGGGGCACTAGTTCTTTATTCCAAGACGGAGTGTATGGCAAAATTATAAGCGGTTATAAGTTCTAAACACACCTGTCTGCTAACAATAAGTTCCTCCTCTTTATAAGCTCCTCCCCCAGTTATAAGCCTGGTCCATTGTTGGAGTACACCATACAAACCTATTAGTAGCATATTGACAATTTGAAGAAGCTTTTTCAGAAGTTTTTTCCTTCCTATTAGTCCCCCAGTTATAAGCCTCYCCAATTATTAGCCCACCCAAAAACCCATACGAACGTGTATAAGCTCAAGGATAATGTAACCAGGATTCTATGGTATTCCCTAGCTTGTATGATGTCTCTAGAGGATTGGGACACACCTTACATGCAACTTTATGAAAACTGCATAGTATACTGAAAATTATGGGGGGGGG